AGTCCCCATCTTAACATTCCAGGTGTTTCTGCCTCCATATGAGGCCAGAAGATTGCTTTCTTTTCCCAGTGAGACTGACCTGGTGGTTTTCTGTTTAATTCCTGCTGGAGGTTGTCAGCTGCTTTTTGCTAGAGGTGACAGAAGTGACCTCAGACTTGTACATATGGCCACTGGGGATTGTGATTTCCGAAAATCCGGACACCAACTCTCCCAGAATCAAGGGGATGGAAGCCATCAGGTGCTGAACAATTACAAATTCAACATTGCCGCCCTTGCTGTCTTGTATAAGGATGAGCCAGCCTGCAATTTAAAATGCTGTGATTTTCTTCCCTTGAAATTCTCTGTATCAATATCCACACTATAGTTGATCTCATATTGCTTATTGGTCCTGACTAACGTTTTCTTTCCTTCAAATCTTATCACACAAGTTACTGGAGATGGTGGGATTCGCAGGGTTTCTAGTTATTTTTATAGGGTTTTGGTTTTTTTAGGTTGTAGTTATTTTTGTTTTTCTGACTCTGGGGACTGAGCTCAAGGCCTTGCATTGCTAAGCAGGTATACTTTGCCACTTGCCTCCATTTTTGCTTTAGTTGATTTTTCAGAGAAGTTCTCATGTTTTTTACTGTCTAGTTTTGACCCATGATCCTTCCATCTCCATCTCACAAGTAATTAGGATGAATGCTGTGTGCTACCAGAGTTTCTGTTCTCATGGACTTCAGATTCAGGTCAATGGTAAATGGTAGAAACTAGACATATTTCTACTCTGTTCTCCATTTTTGACTCCATTTTGTTCTCTCAATAAGACGCTGAGATGTGTCAGGTTCAAGGGTTACACAGGCATTATGTATGTTGAGACAACCATCATATGACAATAATCAAGGCAGAGGTCAGAGATGAGTTGTGAGGATGAGACCCTACCATAACTGGGAGAGGAGAGAAGGGAAGGAAGTCACCGGGATATACATCGTGCTAGCACTTGCCAGATTGTTCCTGTTTGATCCTGAAGCAGTTTTGCAGCGATATAGGATATCACATTCAGACAATGCTGATCAAAGAGATAGTAGCAATAGACGCATCCAGATATGTATACCTTAAAGAGAACCCTGCAACTCTGTATGGGCCAAGTCCAAGGACTCTTGTTTTTTTAAGACAGGAAGGAAACTAGATAACTCTATATGTAGTGACAATCCTGGAAGCTAAAGAGTCCCTCTGGACAGGATATCACTGACGAACTTCTTGAATCTTTGCTTCCCAGTTAGGATGAGCCAAAGAAAGCCAACAATGCACTTCTAATTAGCCATTCAGTGTCCACTTCTCATTGCTGGTAATTAACCTACTTTCAGGTCTCTCATGCCAACATCCTCTAGTCAGACCACACCTGTGCTCTTGTTTCTGCCAATTAAAAAGCTTTCTCATTCCTCTGCCTGCCTTTGTGATTTTGCCAAAACATAAGTGCCCATGGCTGACTCCTTTGCTATAGCAAGCTCAGAAATAAATAGCTTCTGCTTTTCTCATTTGGTCTTTGTTTATTTGCACAACACTGCAGTTTAAATAGGATCCAAGGGCCAACCGGGTTCCGTACCATCCGAATTGCTATTCCTTTGTTTATTCATTCACAAAAGAAATATTTATGTAAGGCATTATGACAGACACCAATAATCCTAGCAGTTGGAAGTTAAGTACAACCCTGGACCAAAAGAAAAATAAAACTCATTTACCAACAAGTTTAACATAGGTCAGGAGCAAATGAACAAAACATAAGCTACAGTCCCCTTCTCACAGGATAGTATCCTGACAACTATGGAACAGACTTGATAACCTGAAAATCCAGCCAATAAGCATTAATGTGTTGGTGCAGAATTTTCTAGAAGTGTTACACAAGGCAACTTCCAGGAAGCTGAAGTTGGGTGCCATGTCAACAGTTATACAATTGAGTCCACCAAGCCCATAATCTCACAGGTAATACTTTAGAAGAAGTCTCTATCGGTCAAAATTTAGTCAGATAGTTCAATTAATTTTACATGTACCAGAGCAGTTCCCATGAGTGAAGTGTGAAGAAATGACTAGAGCATGATGTAATACATCTGTTAGACAAAGGCAATACATTTGAAGATGTGGCTTGGTAATAAATTCTAAGGATGTTATTCAGAGATTAATGTGGAGGGAAAAAGCTTGTGAAAGATGAGGCTTACTTTGGTTTATTAATGCTCACGATAGTCCTAATTACCACTCTCTGATAGTCAAGGTTATTTTCCAGCCTTGGTATGTGAATGACCTTCCCTCCTACTTTGTCAAAAAAGGATGTTCAGGGCTGGCTGCATGTAGAAAAGACAGCTAAAATGGCCCTTTCTGAAGTATCAGTTCCTCAAGCAATTTCAGCTTAATCAACAGAGCACCTTGGCATTGTTTTAGCTTCCCATTATTCTTTCACAGAGAAATTCAATAGAAGGAATTGTTGGGTGCTAAAGAACTAAAAAGGCAAAAGAGGACAGAAAGAAACTAGCCAAAAGCTGCCACCTGTAGGGAAGCGGTGGAGTCTTAGTGCATAGGAGTGGAGGAGACTGTGCATCAAGACACTGGACAGATGCTTGGGGAATGGAAACTAGGTGCTGGTGATATCTCTGAGGGGCTGTTATGGGGCTGTATTACCAAGTGTTGGGGTTGCTGTAAGCTGGTATTAATAGTCACCCTTGGAATGAAGACTAGCCTTTGCAGGGCTGAAGTACCATTATGGTAGGAAGCAAAGAGGAAACAGGCATAAAGCACAAAGTCCTGTCTCTAGCCTTGCCACCTCTCTTTGGGCCTCTCTATTGGCAGATCTGAGAGGACCCAGCTGACACAGGAGAAATGAAGTTGGCTTTGTCTCAGACCATCACTAAAAACTGAATACTGCTGGATCCCTGCTGTAACTGTGGTTCTCCGTCAAAAAGATTCACAAAGAGCATCTGTCCTGAACGTGCTGACTTATTACTGTCATTAATTTCTAAACAATGTAACAGTGCATATCAAGTTTATGTTTGCCAGCCTAAGTAATCCAGAGATGATTTACAGTACAGGAAGTGCAAAGGTGATATACAAGGATCAGGCCCTTGCCTGTAGGGCACTTGAACACCCTCAGATTCTGAAACCCTGAGTCCTAGCACAGACATCTCCCTGCTCCATACCTAAGAATGTAGAGGGTGAGGTTAGACCATGAGAAGGAATGGCTTAGTATCTGTTAAAGCCCAGCCCTCAGACCATTCAGTATCCATATACAAAGTGATTACGAAGATAACTCCTAACAAGAGAATCATCTCTTTAGTTAATTGCAAATGTTCTTTCTGCAAAAAAGATACCCTCACCCTTTCCAAAAAGAGACATGAAGTTCCAACAGACGTCCTATCAATTTCTGGAAAGGTGATACGAGTCATTTCTTGACTTAATCACAACTGAATTTGGCCCTGGAACCTACCTGAACATTGACAAATAAAAAAAGAGTTGATTCCTAAAAACATAAAATTGCTACAGAAACTTGTTTCTGGTCATTCACAGGCTTAATAAATTCCGCTTTCCCACCCCCACCCCTTCCACAGTCCATGTTTCCTCTTCTCTCAGCTCCTCCCGGTTTACATCTGGTAGAGCACCCCAGAACTTCACTGCCTAAGGGCCTACACTGCGCCCCTTTGAGGTGACTGTTTTCCATTAAAAATCTGTTATTTGTTATGGATGGAAGTGCTAAAATTCTGTTTAGTCTCCTGTGTTCAAGGTATTGTAGCAACAGCACACCCCCCCTTGGCTGTCAGAATTACTTACATCACCAAGTAAATAAACTCCTTGGCTTGTTGGTCTAGTGCTAAAATAAGATGGCCTGTTTCCGCCTCAGCGGAACCCGTGTCTTGTGGTGGCACACCACTTCCTCGCATCTGTCAATGGAGACGAGCAAACCACCATTCACAGTAAGAGGCGCTCCCTCTACCACTGCTTGACTCCAGACCACGCATCCTGACTGAGCCCCAGCCCCAGGCAGAGATCCCTAATTCAAAGCCCCAGTTTGATTTCATCAGGTGGAGTGCTGTACTCTGCCCTGCGCCCGGAGTCTTCAACAGACCATTCCACCGTCCTGCTATACCCACTGCTCCTGGGTGATTGGGGACAACCAGGAGTAAGTCCAAGGACTCATGGATTGTGGTACTAGGAGGTATGGCGAACTTCCAGCTGCCTTTCTCCAAGAGGGAGAGAAAGGAAAGTGTGGTTGTCATCCTTGCAATGAAACAGCCAGATTCTTAAAATTCACATTTTCCATAACTTGTGGAAAGCTGAGTCACAGAGCCACCCAAATCTACAGATTCAAGGAGAGAAAACATATGGACAAAATGAAATTGGTTAATTCTCAGAAGTACTAAATAGGTATTGCCAGCCAGACATGCATACTATTTCATATGTTTCTGAACTTGGCATTTAGAGTTAAAAGTGGATGATCATCTAGTTGATGCTACGTTCTATCAGCCTGTTACCACAAGAAAGTGACCACTGCTTTTGACCCAAAAAGGGAAATATTTTATGGCTCAACCTAATAGATAATTCTAGATACATATTACAAATTGATGGCTGGTTTTTACAAGTTACTATTTGCATAAAAGTTATGTTACCGAATTCGACTTAAATTATTATTTGCAAGTATGAGAAAAATGAAAAAGTACCTGAAAAAAAATGGTTATTACATATTTATTTATTTTTTGTTTGGTTCGGTTGTGGGGCCTGAACTCTGGGCCTGGGTGCTGTCCCTCAGTTCTTCAGCTCAAGGCTAGCACTCTACCACTTGAGCCACAATGTCACTTCCAGCTTTTTTTTTTCTGCTTATGTGGTGCTGAGGAATCGAAGCCAGGGCCTCATGCATGCAAGGCAAGCGCTCTACCAATGAGCAAACTTCCAAGCCCAGAATATTTAAAGACATTACATGCTTCACAGGAACAAAAAAATGCTGCTGTGACTGCACGATAACCTGACACCATGCACATACGTCAAATTGGAGAGGAGGCATGTTTATTATATAAATTTACATATAACAAATTCTCATGACATCTGGTTCCCAAATGGATATATGAACTGGCTTGACATGATTATTAATTTAAGAGTAAAATGTAAACTTTACTTTCAATTATATGAGTCAATCTGAGATAGTGACAGAAGAACTATACATATATATAAAAAGGTAAAAAATCTTTAGGAAAGCAATGTTTTGTATGTATGTACACTTAAAGATCAAGGGCTGAAATTTCACTGCTGATGAAAACCACTAGGAAAGGATGTATAACACCCATCACACATCTGTTTCAAAAACAGCATGTCTCAGAAATTATACATTTCTTTACAAATAAACACATTACAATATGAACTATAGACTATTGGTTGAGTTCCAAAATATGCTGCTTCTACAGCATCCCGGGACCCTACTTTAAAGCATTTAGTTTAGTCTTGGGGCTTTAAGAACATCTTCTTTGCTTTTCTTGGTTTTATGTTTCCATTTTCATCTTCTTCAAAATTGGCACGATCCCGCTTCTTAGCAAATTTTTTTCCAATTGTCCCCACCAATGTTTCATATCTGTAAAGATGAGAAACAGCCCAAGTTTAATTTCAACCCAAAAAGTAGGAATCAGGTCTTGTCAGGAATATCAAACCAAATGCAACAAAAATAAGAAATATAAAAATAGTTTGAAAGAAACCATTTGATCTAAACATTTATGAAATTTGCTAGGATGATTAAATTTTTTTTTGCTGGTTTTGTTTTTGCCTTTTCTTGCTTAAACTGACAAGTTCCTTTTGGAGCGTGTGGATGAAGCTCTAAACAAGAGCCCTCAGATCGTGGTTCAAAGCCAGCCTGGGCAGTAAAGTCTGTGAAACTCTTATCTCCAATTAGCCACCAAAAAAACTGGAAATGGAGCTGTGGTAGAGCACTCACCTTGGGGTGAAGAGCTGAGGGATAGTGCCCAGGCCCAGAGTTCAAGCCCCAGGACTGGCCAATAAAAGAGCCATCAGACCTTAAGGTCTGCTTGCATGTCTAGGCAGGCTGGCAGCTGAGACCATTGAAAGCAGACCTTAGTTTCATTCCCGCTGGGCACTGGTTTTAATGCTTTAGTAAACAGTGGGTCAGGGAAGAAGAGAGGAGAGCCAACGGCTGCCATACCACGTTATAAAGCAGAACCAAAGCAACACTTACCTTCTGGCCATTTCTTCATCGGACACATCAAGCTCGACTGTTTCCTCTTCCTCTTCCTCATCTGCTTTGTTCTTTGCATTCATCTGAAGCATTAATTTCTGAAAAACACACCAGTGCCAGCCATGAGGGTTAGAGAAGGCTTCCTGAAAAAAGCTGCTGTCAAACTTAAAGGGAAAACGTTTGTCAAAATGTCTAAGGTATTCCCTGTAATATTTTATACCACAGTGCTAACAGAGTGCAGCTCCAAATCAGAATAGGACAATGCCCCGACAGACCTAGTTAGCTACAGCTCTCTAGAGGCTTCCTGGAGAAATGGTTCCCAGCTAGGGATGGCTGTGCCCTCCAGGGGATAGTTAGCAATGCCGAGAGACCATTTTGGTTGTTAAAGCCATGAAAGGACTGTGTGTGCACTATTGGCTTTTAGTGGGCAAAGGCGGAGACCAGGGATGCTGACCAGCCTGAGCATTTATCTGCTCAGGACAACCAGTCTCAAAGAATGAGCTAGACCCAAAGGCTGTACTACCAAGGGTGGTAAACCCTAGCTCAAGCGATAGCCACAAAACGAAAGACTTCAATCAAATATGTCTATCTAAAATGCCAATCAATCTGAGACATACGTAACAGGTGATAAACAAAGAACTGCTTTTCTATAAACCCAAGGCAGGAAATTCAAACAGTTCAGTTACAAGGTGAATATTCATTTTTCAAATAGATTTTCAAAAAGGACTCACTTAAAATTCTATTTACAACCTTGGATAAAAGCCTGTTCATTTACAAGTCAAATTATACAATTTTTAAGTAATGATTTTCCATTAGAAAAGATACATTTATAAATTCCAAAAAAGAACTTTTCATAACAGCATCATATGAATAAAATCTTGACATTCCTATAAAAGGCACAGGTTGCAATTCTAACTCAGTGGCACTATCAGGGATTGTATACTGCTATATTAAATTACCTGCTTAATTCTTCTGTAAAACTAGACTGCAATGCCTGCAATTTCTTTAAATAGCTATGGCAATATTTCAAGACTTGTTATTTTCTATATAATGAGGAGCAATGATACCTGGGAGGGAGAAATTTAAGGTCAATTACTGGCTGAAAAAAATTTAAGTGGAAAATTTTTACATTTGAAACATTTATATTTAATACCTCAACTTCAGGATTGAATCCTCTGAATGACATTCTTCCATAGAGAAGATCTTCACATGACAAGAAACTCTGCTCTTCTATTATGAAACTCCTAAACAGGATAATAAACCTGTGTTAATAGTGTGTCTACTTATGGCTGAGTAAGTCAAGACTCTGAATGGAAAAACCAATCAGATGACTATCAGCAGACTCTAGTAAAAATACAGGGTTTCTAATTCAGAGTTAGAAATAAAATATGATTAATTTGGCAAGCAAAGGCATCAGAAGACGAGAGCTCGGCTACAGGGGCTGCCTCTCCTGGATATGATTATATGAATTTAGACCCTAAAAGGTTCCTTTGAAGCAATTTGTCTTTTACTCACCATGGAGTTTTTTTTTTTTTTTTTTAATTAAATATCCCAAAAGCGGGTGTGGAGGGTGGGTGGGATTCTAGGTAGCAGGGGAATGCTGGAGGTCTGAGCAACTTTCACATGTACTATCAGAACTCTTAGCTCTAAACACCAATAACTTAGGCAGAGGAGGAGTCTGCCATGAGAATGCTGGGAAAGCTGGGTGAACAAAACTGGAATATGGGCAAAAGTTGGGTGGAGAGGTAGCCAGACCCAAGACCCAAACCCAAATCATTCTCCAGAATTACTCCTGTAAAATACTGTTGCTGACAGCTCACAGGCCCCTCAATGAAACAATGGATCAAGAAAATGTGGCAAATATACACAATGGAAATTTATTTATCATTAGGAAGAACAGTTATTACATCATCCGCAACAAAATGGATACATCTGGAAAAAAAACTATATTAAGTGAAGTAACTGTATATCTCTCTCTCTATATAAACATGGTTCAACAGATGAAAACTGCTAAACCTAATGTAAACAAAACCAAGGTTAAGTCATATCTCAAGAGATACAGAAAAAAGCCTGACAAAACCCAAAAATTCACGATGAAAATAAAATAGGAAGTTCATGCTTTACTGTTTTTGAAAAAAAAAACAACAAAAAAAAACGGAGTAGAGAAAAAGGCTGTGACTGAGCTCTTTTGGTTCTTAAAAACTGCTATTAGTTTTAATACAATTTATCCAGCAAGCATTTATTGAATCTCTAGTGTGTTCCTGGCTAAGCACTTAACATCCCTTAACGAATGCTTATAGCCATCCCAAGAGCTGCTCACAATCATGCTGTCCATTTTTGCACTCGAGGAACTGAATCTTAAGAGAAAGTAGTGTGTCCAAGAGCCACCCAGCTAATCAATGCTGAAGTCAAGATAAAACAGTTTCCCCGTCCACCTCCCAGCTCAGCTGGTACTTGAGAAATGGCTCTGAATAGTGATGAATTCATCTCATCCATTTATCTAAGTCCTTTGGGAAGCTATTTGTCTGTTTTTCCTGATGGTTTCTTACCTTAGTGAGCTCTATGATACATAATTTTACTTAAATTCTTGTCACATGCTTGTTTTTTTTTCTTTGTATACCAGGTCTTGCCATATATTGGAGGTTAACTTAGAACCTACTATGTAGTCCAGGCTTGGCCTCAAACTTGTGATCTTCTGGCCTCAGCCTCTTGAGTGACAGGATTGTATAGGTTGTGCACCACCATGGTTGGCAGAACTGCCAAGTATGCTGAAACAGTGAGGCCTAATGTACACACTGATCTTTTTATTTTTTTTGTCCGTTGTGGGGCTTGAACTCTGGGCCTGAGTGCTGTCCCTCAGCTCTTCAGCTCAAGGCTAGCACGCTACCACTTGAGCTACAGTGCCACTTCTGGTTTTCGATGCTTTATTGGAGATAAGCGTCTCATGCACTTTCCTGCCTGGGCTGGCTTTGAACCGCCTCAGCCTCCTGAGTAGCTAGGATTTCAGGCATGAGCCACCAGTGCCTGGCCTGATCTTCTTAATATAAGTCCACCTGATCTTCTTAATATAAGTCCACGTAGAAAGTTTACTGGTTTAACAGTTCTTAGAAAACTATTTGCAAGCCTAAAGCAAGAAACTAATCAGGCTTTTTTATGCTACTAGAGTGGTGGGTCTAATGATTTCTCTGATTGCCTTATCATTATCAATATTAATTCTAATAAACCTACTCTTTCTCTTTAAGCTCTGGCAAATCCAAATACCAGTGTTCTTCACTAATGATCTTCTTTTCTTCCTCTTCTAGTTGTTTCTTTGTTTCTGAGTCCAGTCCCCTTTGCATGAACTGTCAAAACAAAATCAGTGTCAGCACTCTTGATCATCCTGCAGTATTGGTACCTAGACTGCACCCGGTTCAGAGTTTTAAAAAGAATGCTCTTCTGAATGTAAACAAATCTAGGCTTGTTTCATCTTTCTTTACTCTTTTTTGGATGGTTCTAAAGGCAAAGGCTTCATCTTATCATTCATTTTCTTGTGGGATTTGTTAGCTTGGGCTAGCTTCAGAATGCAATCCTTACATTTCAGTTTTCTGAGTAGCTGGCATTATAGGTGTGTCACTTTTTTTAAATATATTTTTTATTGTAAAAATACTATACAGAGGGTTAGTTACATGAGTGAGATAATGAGTACATTTCCTATTGAGCATTGTTACCTCCTCTTTTGTTTTTCCCCTATCATCCCTTCTCTCCCCACCTTCCCAACTCCTCCCTCCCCCCATTTTTTTTTGGGGGGGGGTCTGGTCGTGGGGCCTGAACTCTGGGCTTGGGTGCTGTCCCTCAGCTCTTCAGCTCAAGGCGAGTGCTCTACCACTTGAGCCACAGTGCCACGTCCTTTTTTATTCTGCTTATGTGGTACTAAGGAATCGGACCCAGGGCCTCATGTATGCAAGGCAAGTGCTCTATCACTGAGCCACCTTCCCAGCCTCCCCCTATTTTTTTTAAATGGCATATAAATACCTGTATAGATCTATGTAATACTTATGTTAAGGATAGAAAACCAACTGGATATGAATTATCCTCTTCATCCCTAGTTACATCATAGCTCAACTCCATTTGTTTCTTTTTTTTGGGGGGGGGGCCGGTTGTGGGGCCTGAACTCTGGGCCTGGGTACTGTCTCTCAGCTCCTCAGCTCAAGGCTAGCGCTCTACCACTTGAGCCACAGTGCCACTTCGGCTTTTTTTTTTTTTGGCTTATGTGGTGCTGAGGAATCGAACCCAGGGCCTCATGCATGCAAGGCAAGCGCTCTACCACTGAGCCACCTTCCCAGCCCCTCCATTTGATTCTTGCACATGGAATGTCTACTCGTTAATTTTCAAAACATTAACTTCTTTTCCTGGGAAATTCTGTCTAACCATGAGAGGTTACATCTCTCTTTAAGTACATATGGGCCTCAACTTATAACAAATTTTCAATTTCATGGTGGTGAGAAAGCCATGCACTTTGAATTTTGATCTTTTCTGGGCTAGCCACATGCTTTATACTATGTGGTGATCTAGCCTAAGCCACAGCTCCCAGACCGCCACCCAACGTCTAAGGCACACAGTGCACCCTGCTCCTACATATTTGGTAGGTTAGGTATGTCAAAGGCACCTGTATAACTCTGCATTTTCAATGGGTTTACGGGACATAATCACATGTTAATCAACAGCCAGCTGTTGTGCTCAGCGACAGGCAGTAGTGCAGTCATTAAGAGCAAGGGCTTGGGAGCCCGAGGGCCAGGCCGTCCTTATCAGCTGGGTAACTTTAGGCACCACTTGTTCCAGTTGCTTCCTCTGTCCAGAATAAACGGAAGCATCTCAGGGGTTTGTATCATGTGAACTAGATTGGGGGGATGGGGGGGTCACGCCTGTCTTTCTAGCTACTGAGATCTGAGGATCATGGTTCAAAGCCCGCCGGGGCAGGAAAGCTCAGGAGACTCTGATCGCCAATTAGCCAGCAAAAAGCCGGAAGCAGAGGTGTGGCTCAAGGGGTAGAGTGCTAGCCTTGGGGGAAAAAGCTGAGGGAGCGAGGGCCTGAGTTCAAACCCCAGGACCGGCACGCACGCGCACACGCACACACGGAAAAAGGGAAAACCACCCTTACTGAGATCCCTCGCCATGGGTGCCCGCTGCCTGCTTCTCTAGCCCCGCTGCTGTCTGCCAGGTCTCCTCTCGCAGGCTGCTGGGCTCGCTCTTCTCTCGGTAAATCTAGGAAGCCACCCTGCCGTCCTTCCTCTTACCTCCTATTTATGGATCGGTTCCTGACAGAAGCCCCACTCAGGGCCCCGGCTTCGACCAGGGCAAGCTCGTGTGTAAGCGAGCTCCTATCCGACCCGCCGCGGCCTCACGAGATTTATGAATGAATGAGCGGACGAACGCCCTCCACAGCTCCAAGTTTGCCCGCCGCCTCGGCCCCAGACAGGTCGGGAGATCCGGGGCTCTGCCGCCCCGCCCAGCTCCCCAGAACCCCCGCACCTTCATGCGCAGCAGGTTCTTGGACAACTTGGTCTTGCGTTCAGACGCCATGCTGGCTCTAGATCCGGCCACGAAACCCTGGCGCGCATGCGTGCTACCGCGCGCGCTCGCCGGAAACCCGCCCTGCGTCTACGTCACGCGCGTCGCCGCCCGCCCCGCCCCCACGCTCGAGCGGCTCGCGCTCTCGGCGCGCGTCCGGTCTATCTGGGGAGCGTTCGCCTCGCAGAGCTCGGACCGGCGCGTCCGCTGCGGACCCGGGTGAGGACGGTTAGCGAGCTGTGTTTTTTAAACACTGGGAAAGCGGACTCCGTCCTCAGGAACGTTCTGTTCCGTGGAACAGCCCGGGAGGCTGACTGGAACCAGTGTCGAGCTGCCCCGGACGCGGCGCGGGGGACGCGGCCCGGACGCGTGCGGCCTGAGCCGGGCCTCAGGCGGGCCCGGACGCCGGACGCGTGCGGCCTGAGCCGGGCCTCAGGCGGGCCCGGACGCCGGACGCGTGCGGCCTGAGCCGGGCCTCAGCCGGGCCTGGACGCTGGACGCCGGACGCGTGCGGCCTGAGCCGGGCCTCAGCCGGGCCTGGACGCTGGACGCCGGACGCGTGCGGCCTGAGCCGGGCCTCAGCCGGGCCCGGACGCCGGACGCGTGCGGCCTGAGCCGGGCCTGAGCCGGGCCCGGACGCCGGACGCGTGCGGCCTGAGCCGGGCCTCAGCCGGGCCTGGACGCTGGACGCCGGACGCGTGCGGCCTGAGCCGGGCCTGTGCCAGGCCTGAGCCGGGCCCGGACGCCGGACGTGTGAGGCCTCAGCCGGGCCTCAGTCGGTCCCAGACGCCGGGCGCCGGACGCCGCCTCGGGTCTCAGCAGGGCTCACTCTGTGGAACGAGACTATTCCAAGCAGGGAAAGGCTTCGGAGCCCCAACATCTCCAGAAGATTTAACCTAGACTGAGAGAGCACTGGACAGAGAGCAGCTTTAAGGTTGCCCTGTTCAGTACTCTCCAACCACTTAAAAACTACCCTCCCCCTCATTTGTCAGTAGTTGGACTTGAACTCAGGGCCCGAGTGCTGTCCCTGCACTTCTTTGCTCAATGCTAGGCCATTCGTTCACTCATAAATCTCATGAATTCACCTGAGCCTCAGCTCCACATCGGGCCTTCTGGTGGTGAATTGGAGATACATGCCACCGACTTTCCTGCCCCGGCTGGCTTCAAACTGTGATGTTCAGAGCCTGAGTAGCTAGGATTACGCCTGGTACATTTTCTTTTTAAAAACATTTGCAGCCCTGCATTTTGGAAAACACTCAACCTAATGCATTTCCAGTTTTAGCTGCTTGTTTTGACTTAAGGTACCTTACATCTTCCAAACTGCTGGGTGCGGTGGCTCATTGCTGTAATTCTAGCTACTCAGAAGGCTGAGATTTGAGGATCATGATTCGAAGCCATCCCAGCAGGGAAGTCAGCGAAACTTTTCCAATAAACAACCAAAAATAAAGCCAGAAGTAGAACTGTGGCTCCAGTGGTAGAGCACTAGGCTGGAGCAAAAGAAACTTAGGGACAATGTCAAGGCTCTGAGTTCAAGCCCTGGACCAGCACAAAACAAATATAACCATCACAAAAACCCAAACAAAGCAAAGAACAGTATTGCTGTCATGTACTAGATCCAGGGGAGGAAAAGAATCTACTGCTTTTTGTGTTAAAGCTGAGCTTCAGAAAGAAATCTGGATGCTAAAAATGGACACTTTGTGGAATAAATAAAATCTTCTAAACTGGTTACAGAAATTCATTCAGAAACAGAAACTGTAAGTGACATAGTAGAATACAATATGCATAAAAACATCACCATCCTCTCTAATGTCCAGTACATCAAAACAAAACAACTAAACCCAAATAACTGGTGAGTACCAGGTAAGAGAGAAAAAGATGTGATAGAAAGACTTTTAGTGCTACATTAAGTACGGTGGTCCAGGATGAACCTTACCAGGTAATAGTGCTAAGGCTTAAAAATTGAGAAAAATCCTAATCTATGAAGAGTTGGACTAAAGTTCCTGAAATGAGAATATGACATAGTCTTTGTATGAAGTATGAAGCCCGTGAGTGGCAGTACAACAAGATTCCAGGCCACCCTGTCCTGGAAATAAGTCTCCTTGAATGGTGTGAGACTGGAGCTAGGTCTGAAATGGAGTTAAGCCTAGAGAAAGTCCTCCAAGTCAATCTCAACTGTTGTGCCACCAACACTGGCAGTGGCCCACTGCATTGTTCCTCTTGTGAAACAGATGCAGTAACTCTTTGATCCCTTGCAACCACAATGCTCCTGTCTTTGAATTTATATTGTTGGGTCTATTCAAGCAGTGCTGTGATAGGGGAGGTGAAGAATATTCAGTCTGCATCCAGGAAACTAGAAGCTTACTGAGTTAGATCCTAAGGATGATCTAAGTCTTGTTAGCTTATTTCTGAAGAGGAAAACAACATTTGTGGAGACATACATGTTTTCCTGAATGACTGTTCCGTCACTTTTTTACTCTCCACTTTACAATTGTTATTGTCTGAGACATAAGGGTCAAATTCTTGAGCCTGTCATTCAATTTTTTTTAATTTAACAATGAAAAGTCTTGCAGTGAGAGCCTCTGAAACCTCTTTTCTTCCTCTCAAACTGTAATAAATGAGAAGTGATTTAAGAGGAAGTGTTAATTTTAACTTTGAATGTAAAAGTTCCTTGACAGGTGGAATAACTGATTTTAATGCTGCTTAATTACAGGATACAAAATAGGTGTCACACTCAGTGTGTTAACCTGTTGTAGTTACAAAGCCAAAAAACATTGTTTTTGAGGAAGAAACACTTTGAATACATTATACAATGCTAATTTATTTCACAATAGAACTTACTGAAAATGTGAAACCCTCTAATTCCTGCCAACTACTGGATCTATCAAGAACAAGTCTGCAAGTCTCTACTCTTGTAGCAGCACAGTATGCTGGTCAGATGAAGCTGCTGAGTACATGCAGTGTGACTAGTTCAGGGAAGAAACTGCAGATTTAATTTTAACCAAGTGAAAAATAAAAGTAACTGTATTCAAAGCTTTATTGTTTTGGAAGGACTACATTTCACCTTAATCTTTGAAAATTCAGCATCTGAACACACTGTTAAGTGTCAAATACATATCTCAAAGACTTAGTCTGAAAAATAAGTAAAATAACTCAGTATTCTTCATATTGATTACATGTTGAAGTTTGGATATATTGGTTGAAATAAAATGATATGAAAATGTCATCTGCTCATTTTTTAATGTGGTTGCTAGAAAAATTTAAATGTGTTGCTTGCATTCCTTTCCTTTTTTTTTTAAACAATGTTTTCTTTTTAACAGCACTGGTTAATTTTTTTTTTTTTTTTGGTTGGTCGTGGGGCCTGAACTCGGCCTGGGCACTGCCCCTCAGCTCTTCAGCTGAAGGCTAGTGCTGTACCACTTGAGCCATAGTGCCACTTTCGGCCTTTTCTGCTTATGTGGTGCTGAGGAATTGAACCCAGGGCCTCATGCATGCAAGGCAAGCAGTCTACCACTGAGCCACCTTCCCAGCCCAACAGCACTGGTTTAATAGTTGAAGTGGCTATGCCTGCTTTCCTAGTATAGAAGCTAAGAGTATTGAGTGAGCAGAAGAAGGAACTCTTATGCATGAGACAATGCTGCTGCTGTAATAGGCATCTTTTTTTGTTCACATGTTTATTTGCAAGTATAGTGCATTGAAATGACATAGTAAACCATATTAGAAGGATACTGGGTAGTTCACAGAATTGATGAGAAGCCTTGAGAATAAGGCTAAGTTAAAAAGACAAAAATCGGGCTGGGAAGGTGGCTCAGTAGTAGAGCACTTGCCTTGCATGCACGAGGCCCTGGGTTCGAATCCTCAGCATCACATAAGCAGAAAAAGCCGGAAGTGGCGCTGCGGCTCAAGTGGTAGAGTGCTTGCCTTGAGCCGAAGGGCTGAGAGACAGCGCCCAGGCCCAGAGTTCAAGCCCCACAACCGACCAAAAAAAAAAAAAAAATCAGGACAACCCAGGGAACTAGGTAGCAGGAATGAACTTTATGTCATTGCCAGAATGGATGAACACAAAGACTTTCTCTTTTTAGGGCACTGTACTCAGGGTTTCAAAGTCAGGAGAGTGTATGTATCTGTTTTAGCTTAGGGAAAATCCTGTTTACAATCCCAATAACTCTACATAGTAGGGGAGTTAATTAAAGGGGAATCTCGCTATTCCTCAAATAAGAGATTATCACTATAATAGACTAAGCAGCAATACTAAGGACAGATATGCACAGGAGCCAGGACGGAAGCAAGTTCTGTTGAGCCAGTTCAGAAGACTGAATTATTGGTGTGTCATTTTGGAACTCATCCAATATGAAATATTATCTTTTCTCCTTCCTACTTCCCTGTTTTATGCACTAAACAACTATTTACTTAATACTTATTTATACTTGTTATATCCAAATTGTATTTCCAGCCTAAAATCTAATATATCTCTTCTGTGCTTAAGTTATTTAGGAAGCCTTGTCAATTACTTGTACGTAGATATTTTGGCTGAATCAGAGTATTAGTGCTAGAAATGGCCCTATGTGTTAACTCAGAATTAAGGCTTGTTAACATTCCATTTAATTTTCTCTCTAATATGGCCAAATCATTTTTATTGTTTTGTATCCCTGAATTTGTATCCCTACATTTTTACTGTCTACTAAGTGCATCTTTTTTATTCTTTTTACTTTTACTTTCTTTACCAAATATAATTTAGTATTATTTCACTTGGCTTTTGGTCGGTGTCGAGGAACCTACTCCCCAGAGCATATGCCATAGATAGGACTATAGCTCCTAAGCAGAGAATTTTAATAGGGAACCTAATCTGGATTTTAAGAGCTTTGAGAGCTTTTCTTGAGGAAGTGACATCTAAGTGGAGACTTCAAGATGAGTTATGAGTTTGCCTGACAACAAAGAGAAAGAGCTGGAGGGAGTGAAGAATGTTTCAGATGGTTGAAAAGGGTTTTCAATGATGCTTATTGTGTAAATGACAAGTCTGGAGAGGCAAGGTAAGACCCCAGCCTAAAGGCAATGAGTTAAGATTGCTAG